AATCATTCTGGCTTTTAAGGTGACTAGTAGCTGTTAATGTGTCAGGTTTCTGCCAAAGCGCCTCCAGAATTACTTCCAAAGCACAACCTGAATGCCATTTCTGATATGCTCAGTCATCACTGAAAGTTCCTTATTGCCTAAAATTTGATGTCCATTTACCTCAAGCAGGCCCCCAAGTCCTTCCACATACTAACTACAAGCTTCTTTTCAAAACCTTCTGCTGCTTCTTGCCTCCCATATTCAGAAAACCCAGGCATTACCATTTCTGAAACCAGGCTCCATCACATCACTGTGCCTTTGCCATGGTGATTTCTCCTCAGCAAGTATACAGTCCTCTGTTTCAGTATGGAGACTCAAGTTATTCTTTAGAGAATCAAGTCAAATGCTATGATCTTCCGGAAAAAAAATCCTCACATTGCCTTTCTCCCACAGTATTTTATTTCTGTCCTTTATAAGTCTGACCCTGCTACTCTTTCTAGTAGAGCAGTCCACCTGGTTTTTCACATCCTACTTATAATTTTGGAATTTGTCACCAGTTCAGCTGTTCTCCAGTACTTACATATACAGTGACTGATCTCAGTTTTCAAAAACAGAGGAGTGTTTTCACAGCTCTGTAATATAACTACCATGTGGAAGGTGATTAGAGGTTGATTCTCTCACAAAATGAAATTCTCAAAATCAGTGTTTAAATGTTGACAGTTTCCTGCCTACCAATTTTCTGCTATAAGAACTCTAGGGCCCAGAAAATACCATGTCATAAAATAAAGTGTTGGTCTGAATACAATTCACAAGTATCATTATTCATACATTAGACACTGGAGTTCCTAAGGACTTTTGTGTAACTGTTTTTTTGTTTTGGTTTGGTTGTGGTTTTTGGTTTTTCTACAGCAATACTGTATAGAAAGACAATTTGTCCTGTTCACTGTCACTTCCTACTAATATCATGATGAACACTTGAAAAGTAATGCCCTAAAGGAGGGAAAGGTGCCAGGTATAATTAGAAAAAAAATCTACCTTGCAAATTAAGACAACAGCCATCCAGCCATCCAACAAAATCCCTACTTTCAATGTGTCAGACCAGCTGCCTTTGTCTCCATGGTTAATTATCAGGAAATTAGAAAAATTCTCTTTCACTAAGATTGTATTTCTCCCACTGCAGTAAATTTGTTCACAGATAAGACCCTTTGCACGAATTATGGAAACACTGTCTCCCTCCATGCTCATCCTGGCTGAAAATCAAGGTCAGCCTAGTGAACAACTTAGCTAGATTTGAGAGGGGGAATGTATGTCTTCCTTGGTTATTTTTAGGGATTACAGATTCCTTAAGGATAATGATTCCTTTATTAAAGCCTATTATACTAGGACATGAAGAGAAACAATACTATAGTAAATGGATTTTATAGGGATCACTTCTGAAACCTATTACTGACATATTGGAGGCCACTGTAGGACTGGAGAATGGCCAGCATGGAAGAATAACAGAAGGCCCAGAATCATGGGTGGAGCCCCGGACTATTATGCTGTTATGGCTATTATGAAACAGGACCTTTTCAAGTAATGCTCTCTCTCTCTCTTTTTCTGTATTTCTGTCTGTCTGTCTCTCTCTGTCTCTCTGTCTCTCTGCCTCTTTCCTCTTATCCATTCTCTTAAGTCTCATATTAGAGCTTTGGTTTTATTCACTTCCAATTCTGACATTGTATGGGGGCAAAAGGAGAGATCCTACCATTTCCCAAGACACAACAGGATCTCAGATGCCTGCATCCCTTAATAAAACAAAATGGTGTAGTACCTGCTCATGAACTATGTGTGTCTACTTGTATGTATCAAGAGTTTCTGGGTTGCTTATGAAACCTAACACTAAGAAAGTACTATGTAAATAATAGTGGTACTTATAAAGAATGACAATGGTGGGGAAATGGTGATTACGTGTTCAATGTAGATGAAGCTATCACATGCCTAACTACACAGGCCATGAAAGGGGTAAAGGGCTGAGACCTGGAGACTAGGGATCTGGGAGTTGGAGGACCCACACTGTTAGCCTAGACATCTACTCATTTACAGGCACTGAGTATATCACTGAGCAAATAAGTGGTTTTGCACTAGGAAACTTTCCTAGTTATATATATGAATCTGTAAATATTGAAGTAGATATAGAAGGCCACCTCTACCCTTTTTATGTGGATCATGTGCTGATCCTTATGGAGAAAATGAAGATATTTTCTCTAATATTCTTAATTTTACTGTCTCCTCTTTCCTGGTGGTCCCTGAGCCTCAGGGTAGGGATGAAAAAGACAAAGGTACTAGTTCTGCCCACCTGAACTAGCAAAGGCCCTGTGGGTAAGTTTAATCTGAACTGTAGAGGATAAATATCTCACAGATGTGCAGAGCTCCAGGGAATATTCCTTCCAGAAAAACCCATAGTACTGTAGGGTGATAGGGGAAGCCACACCTCAAATTCACAGTCTAAATAACCATTCATAAATTGAATATTTGTATATTTAATGTGTTCCTATGGAGCCTCCCAAACAGGGAACTTGTTTTCCTATTTAAGTTTCAAAAATCGTGCAGTGATGTCATGAAAAAAATAATAAAAATTGAAACAAAAGACCAATGAAGAAAAGTTGGTTTCTAAAAGCAAGTGTTGCAGAAGAGGGAATGGTTCAACAGGAATGTAGACAATGGAACGGGACTTACCTGGAGAAGGAGTAAGAACTTGCTAGTTAGCTCAAAAAAGCAACAAGCCATCCTAGCTGGTGCACAGTGAGAGGAAGAGAAACGCATACAAAGGGAACAGAGACCAAAGTTGCTCCAAATTGGTAGGTACTTGTGAGGTGTGTGGAAGGAATTCAAAGTGGACCCAGGAAGATACTGAAGGATTCCAAAGAAAAGAAGAGTCAGACAAATTAACTGCTCTTAAGTAAATTTGTAAGGAGTGACTGAAAAATGATAGTGTAAATGCACTATCATCCCTCCACAATCCCTGGAGAACCACTGGGATTGTCCAGGCTTCAGACAAGAGTGGTCGGAAGGGCAGGGGGTGGGGACATTAGGAAACAGCAGTAGGTTTGGGAGATATGGCTACCTCGGTCTTACAGTTTTTCTAATGGAGTACTGGAGGAAAGAGGCAAACTTGAAAACTCGGGTTTTTATCTCTCAAGCCACTAGGAACATCACAGCACTGTTTAGTGAAGCAGAAAGGAGACAGGTAGAATACTAGACTAGTAGCAAGATGTGTTTGGAGATTATCCTCCTCCTTTCTTGTAGGGTCTGGAGAGTCGACTTCACACGTCAGTGGAGATATAATACATAGATGCTGGACAACTGGCCTGAAGGCCAAGCAAGTAAACAGCACTGATGGTATTTAAGGGAACCAAGGATAGGGGGGAAAAATGAGCAAGAGAGGACTTAAACAGTGTCCTTGAAATTTCCCCCAAGGTTGAAGAAAATAAAGGGAACCAAGAGAGAAGTTGAGAGCATTTGGTGATTTACAAGGAAAAGCATAAAAGAAAGCATTACAAAAAAAAACAAAAAACAAAACAAACAAACAAAAAAAACAGTTTCAAAGGCTGCTGTGAACTGAGTGCAAAAAGGATGTAATGAGTGCTACATTTGGATGAATGGAGATCATTGATCTGTGAATTTTTATGATGTTAAAAGAACAGTGAGGTATCCCAGAAGCAGCAAGACACACACAGTATAAATTCACTTATAAGTGGATATTAGACATATAATATAGGATAAACATACTAAAATCTGTACACCTAAAGAAGCTAAGCAAGAAGGAGGACCGTGGGTAAGATGATCAGTCCTCACTTAGAAAGACAAATGGAATGGACATTGGAAGAAAGAGAAAACAGGAATCAGGACAAGAGTCTACCACAGAGGGACTCTGAAAGACTCTACCCAGCAGTGTATCAAAGCAGATGCTAAGGCTCATAACCAAACTTTGGGCAGAGTGCAGGGAATCTCAGGAAAGAAGGGGGAGATATTTAAGACCTAGAGAGGATAGAAGCTCCACAAGGAGAGGAACAGAATCAAAAAATCTGGGCACAGGGGTCTCTTCTGAGACTGATACTCCAACCAAGGACCATGTATAGAGATAACCTAGAACCCCTGCTCAGGTGTAACCCATGGCAGCTCAATATTCAATTGGGTACCCTAGTAAGAGAAAAGGGACTGTCTCTAACATGAACTCAGTGTCTAGCTCTCTGATGGGGGGAGCAGCCTTGCCAGGCCACAGAGGAAAACAATGCAATCAGTCCTGATGAGACCTGATAAGCTAGGATCAGATAGAAGGGGAGGAGGACCTCCCCTATCCGTGGACTTGGAGAGGGGCATGGGAGGAGATGAGGGAGGAAAGGTGGGATTGAGAGGGAATGATGAAGGGGGCTACAGCTGGAATACAAAGTGAATAAACTGTAATTACTATATAAAAAAAGAATGGATGGCTATTGAAGAAAATATAAGATAGGCCTAGAACATATTAGACAAAAAATGCACTATAGAAATTAAAATCATTCTTATCCCTTACCTTTTGTCTGTGTTCTTACAATGACTCCCGAAACCTATAGACCCTAGTTACTAAAGCACTGTGCTAATAGTAAGGTCACAGTCATGCTCACTCTGAACCCCAGAAGACTTGGGGTATCTTGTCACAGTCTGAAGACTCTCTCTAGACCAGTGGTTCTCAGCCTTCCTAGTGCTACTGCTGTGGTGATGATCAACCATAAAACTATTTTTGTTGACGCTACATAGCTGTAATTTTGCTACTGTTGTGAATCTCTGAACATACAGATTGTTATACTCAAATGCCAATCATCTGATGCCATAAGAAGTGTATATAATGGAAAACTGAAAGAGTCCTTTACACTGCAACTGTTTTCAGAAACGTTGTACTTTTGAGAATACAATCATTTATTGAGATCATTGTAGCCGTAATGAGGAGCTAAGAGGTCAAGTTGAAAACAGGAAATAAAACTATATTCATATGAATTTCACCAAAAAAAAAGAAGAAGAATTATAGTGGACCTCAGAGGTTAAAAAATACTAATAAGCTATTATCAACAGAGTTCTCACAAGTTAATAATCATCTTCCTCCTGACTTCAAACTGGTTTCCACAGTTCTTGAAATGGGGTCATCATGGCAGTCGCCTGCCAGCCCCACTGACTGAACATATGAATATGCATTATCAGGACCCATATGAGAGAATGCTGAGGCAGACTAAGAAACCGCCTGACTCTTTTCTTATAGTCCAAGGTTGCTTTGCATTCAGAATGAGCGTTATCACATGAGCAAGGGTGGCAGATTTGTTTCAGACTACTAAATATCTAAAATCAGGGCTTTATTCAAGCACATGCTTCTCTCCTTAGGGATTCAGAGGTGTGAGAATTTTATATTCCTTTTGCTTTTCTTTGAAGAACACTAGCACATCTACACATTTGTGCTTACTCAATTCAACTCAAAATGAACCAACTCCCACAAGTTGTGTTCGGTATTTTTTAACCAAATAACAAAACAGCTTAAAACTAATATTCTTTTTAATTTATTTATTTATTTATTACAATTTATTCACTTTGTATCCCCATTGCAGCCCCCTTCCAGTCCCAACCACCCTCCCTCTTCTCTACCCCATTCCCCTCCCCTAGTCCTCTGATAGGAGAGGACCTCTTCCCCTTCTATCTGACCCTAGCCTATCAGGCCTCAACAGGAATGGCTGCTTCCTCTTTCTCTGTGGCCTAAGCAAGGCTGCACCCTCCAGGGGGAGGTGACCAAAGAGCCAGCCACTGAGTTTATGTCAGAGAAAGTCCCTGTTCCCCTTACTAGAGAACCCACTTGGAGACTGAGCAGCCTATGGGCTCCCTCTGAACAGGGGATGTTTTCTTTAGGCGTGGTCCTTGGTTGGAGTATCAGTTTCTGCAGGAGACCCTGAGCCCAGGTTTTTGGGCTCTGTTGTTCTCCTTGTGGAGTTCCTGTCCCCTCCAGGTCTTTCTATCTCCCTCTTCTTCCATAAGGTTCCCTGCACTCTGCCCAAAATATGGCTTTGAGTCTCAATACCCTGGTGGGTAGAGTCTTTCAGAGGTCCTCTGTGGAAGGCTCCTGTTCTGTCCCTTGTCTTCTCAAAACCAATATTCTTATTTGAAGGTTGAGAAATGACAGAGTAGATTAAAGCACCTTGAGAATTTGAGGACTGGCCAGACCATAAACTTTCATTTTTAGCACCAGGCCCTTGACATCCTAAGAACATGGGATGATTTTACAGTCTACATAGACAGAGTGGTGGTTAAGTCATGTGCGGCAACACATGAACAACAGAAACAAATTCTAAGAAATAGAAAGTCTGCATTTACTGCGTATAAACTGCGCAATCAGAACAATGCTCCCAACTTTCTAAGACATGTAATAGTTCCCAGAAACAGACAGGGATACATGAAAATTCAACAATACCGACATTACTTCATGCTTACATTTTGGCAGCTCTACGTTGATTCCAGTAAATACCTCAATCTGATGATGTTTACACAAAGTGAAGTCACTGTTAGCATTATTCTCAGAAGGAAAAAAAAATAATAAAGCAATATTACCTTCCCTGAATTACTTAGGCAAAGTACATGTTCAGCTATTGGCAATTTTACAACCCATATTCTAAATCAGAATGCTCTGTCCCTAAAACAGAGAAATTATTCTAAACTCAATCACTTAATATTTTGCTTCCAATCTGGACATTTTAAAAGTCCATAAAACAAGTTTCTTTACATGAAGTGACTCTGCCAGTGTGCATTCAGTGTTTGAACCACACGTGTTATGTATACATGCTGAAGCCAAAGGGCAAATGATCAGCCTTTACAGTGATGAAACTGTTTCATGTATGAATGCAACATACAAAAGGAACACATAGTTAAGATAGTTAATTAAAAAAAAATAAGTAGTTGTAAATTTGGAAGAAAAGCTATCAGCATGGAACAAAGTAAATGTAAAGTCACTTGAAATCAAAGCTCTTCAAGTAAAAACACTTAACGTGTGAAAAATAACTGTGGCTCTTTTCTTCTTTTAGCAATAGCTTTAGATTCAATGATTAGTTGGGGTGAGTAGGTTAAAAATGTAGTTAATACATTTTCCTCCATTTTTATAAAGCACACAACTTTCTTTCTTTATGGAGTTCGGTTTATTTCCCTCCATCCTCACGACTAGTAAGTCTGTTTCCTGGTCTGCCGTGCACCTCCTAGCACTGCCCTGAAGCTGACCGTTTGACATCAGAGCTTCCCCTTTCGTCATCGTCTTATTGGTGAAAAGTAGGAGGGAGGTAGAATGTGACTCTAGTACTAATACCCTATCATTGGCCTAGGTTGGTCATCTTGGGTCTTCTCTGCAGCTGAGAGGCGAAGCAAAACCCACTGCCAAGCAAGAGCTGACTCCGAGTGAAGGTAACAATCCTCAACCGCCCAGGCTAGTGATGTTGTAGTGTGGTTACTTGAGATGTCAACAAGGTTATTTTGGAGTCACAGGGTCTTCCTTTTAGCCCTGATTGTTAAGCTTAAATACATCTAGATATCACTTAGACAATAATTAATTAATTAATTAATTAATTAATTAATTAACTTAGACATTAGACTTTAAGTAGTGTTGTCATCAAAAATTATTTAACTATGTTTTGTCTTAAAGTCTAGATTTGATACTGTCAAATTACACAAGACATTGTTAATTCTAATAATGATACTGATAGTTGGCCTACTACTCCTGTGGGCCAACAGAGAGGGCTAATGTCTCAGGGAATTGAAACTATAATAACTGCTCATATTAGTCCAATAATTACCTTCAAATCTCACTTCTACCTAAAAACTCATATTTTCTTTTATTGTAGTGTAATTACTATATTATATTTTTGATATAGTGTATTAAAGCATATCTTTCAAAGTCAATCACAAACTCCTTAACAAGTTACAGAGACAAACACAAGCATTTACCAGTACGTAGCTGAGACATACAGTAAAATCTTAGCTTTCTACTGAAAAAAGCTCTTTTCATTTAATGTTAACTATATCCATTATATATATGTATATATGTTATTCTGTAATATGTAATATTAATGGTAAATGTAAAATAGAATGTTAGAAATAGAATGTTAAATATAAAATTAAATAAATAATAGAATATATGTTTTAAATATTGAAAAGGAGTCTATGATTTTTACCAAAGAAGCATTATTTTTCTTGTAATGATTTGAAAACCTAACAGGAAAATAATTTTAATAAGAAATTCTATCCACTCAAGAAAACATTTTGCTTAAATTGCCCAAAATTGATTACACATGAAATATTTGCAGTTCGTTGATTTCTTAGTGGTGCTTGCGAAGCCAGTTTAGCAAACAGTGTTTCTAATCACCTGAGGCTTACATCAGGAGAGGTAAATGGAGTTTAGAATTCTTTCCTTTGCCCTCCTGTGGGGTGGGGCCATCCAGGTGTTGATTCTGTGACTCTTATAAAGCTTACTTTTCCATAATTCAAATTAATACAGTATAGCAAAAATAATAGCTACAGTAAGACACAGTATTCCCTCCCTTCCAAAATTTAATACATACTAGTATCTTAGAAAGTTTAAGTGTTACCTAATTATCTAAGAACTATTAATAGTAAATGAACAGATGGCCTCTGTGACTCCTTTAGGAAAAGATTAACTTGTGTCTTTATTAGCTCAAAGAACTTTAAATTGCCATATGTATACTTCTTATTCAAGCAGTGAAATTAATCACATCACTTATATTACTGGAAAAATAAAGTTATATTGTGACAAATGCTATTCTCAGCAGTTCATGGCCTATATATTAGTTAAGGGTCACAGAATGTTAGAAATGATCCAGTTTGAAGTCCCGATTTTACAGGTAACAAACACAAGGCCTAGAAGGAGGAAATGATTTCCCAGTTCTTCCATAGGCAGGGTACAGCGTAGGTTCAAACTGTGTCCTCTCACACTGAACTGCTTTCTGCTCACAGAGCCACACCTCACGCTCTAATACAGAGCATTGAGGTCTTTACTTTTTAGGCCCTAAACTTTCTAACTTTATCTTCATTATGCAGCACTTCAGTAAAAGCTTTCCCCCTTGTTTGAAATGTTTTGCTTCTTATCAAACGCTGTTCGGTAATTATCTGAGATGAAGATTTCTGCTGGTAACAGCCTACCTTTGTGGCACCTCCACTCTTCCCTTTGCTCATGGCTGGTGGACATTGCAATTCCGCTATTCCCTAGAAGCCCATGCTGTGCATTGCCAAAGCTTAGCAACACCTACATAAATTTCAACGACTTATTCCAAGAAGGTTTGTATCAAATGAATAGATGATTACATTTTAATGGCACTTTCACTAATAGACAAAAATTAACTTTCATTTTACTTCATGTGCTGTTTCTGTACTTTTGAGAAAATAGATTTCTTGCACTGGTTAAGTCTACCTATAAATTCAGAGCTTTCTCTCCCTTAAGAAAAACATTACACACAGTCACTTCTAACTCGTTAGCAAAAGAGTCTTAATTCTTTTAAATTTATTTTTAGGTGCAAAGATGAGGAATTTCTTTGTAGTTGTGAATATTCTGGCACTAACTCTTCCCTTCTTGGTAAGTTAATTTCGTTTCATTTTTTGGTAAGATGTTAAATACTTTTATTTAAGAGTTTCGGTTATTGTAATATAAAAGTACAGGTACTTCAAGAAGCATTAACAGTCTGTTATAAGGGTTTTTCTATGTTTACTTGTTTCATAAAAATAAATATTCCTCTAGATAACCATTTGGTTAACAACAATACATACTTCATCATGCATTGAAAGCCTTCCAAATTACTGTACAATGGAAAATAAATCTAGTTTTAAGTTAGAAAGTACTATAAAATATAATTCATAAATAATATGTTTTAAAGGAATCCTAGTCCTAGTCCGGGATCAGAAATCCTTTTGATAAAATTTCTATCCCTCCCATCCTCCAGTCTCCTTAGGGACTAAATATTTTAAAGACTTTAAATAGTTGACATATTTCTCATGATGTCTCTTTCTGTTACTCCGCAGGCTGCCGCGGTGCCTATCCCACCTCTAAATGTAAGTTGATATTATCGCTGCTAGAGGCATGGACTACAAACACAATATTCTGAAAAATTCAATCATGCCAAAACGCTTCCTGTCTTAAAGCTAAATAAGCATTTAAAGTTTCAACAACTTTAACAGACCATCAGACTTTTTTTATAATTAAATTTATTTATTTTCATTAATTACAGTTTATTCACTTTGTATCCCCCCATAAGGCCCTCCCTCCTCCCCTCCCAGTCCCATCCTTCCTCCCCTTTCTTCACACATGCCCCTCCCCAAGTCCACTGATAGGGAAGGTCCTCCTCTCCTTCCTTCTGATCTTAGTCTATCAGATCACATCAGGAATGACTGCATTGTCATCTTCAGACCATCAGACTTTTTAGTGTTCAAATTACTATCTTTTCTGACAGTCTTCCTACTGTGTGGGCTAGCCAAGTCCTTCCCAGGTATCCAAGTCCATAGTTAGTTCCATGGCTGGTAGACACAGAATTGCATTTTATATTTAGAGATGAGCCGTGTAAAAAGTTCTGTTTCTTTTAACTTTTTAACTAATTTTTATTGTAGTTTGGGTGTTTTCATGCTTTATTTTCACACTCATTCTGCAATTCCAAGAACTGCATCTGCAAGCAGACAAAAAAAAAAAAAAATAGAGACAATCAATCTAGAAAGTAATGTATGCTCTCTCATTTTTGAGATTATAAAATTGGAGTACTGGACACTTGTTTAAATTATTAAATGTAAAGAGGTATCCACTAGATAATTTTTTAGTAAATTCTTGGAGTCAAAAATTACCTTTAAAATTACTATGAATTTTGCATTTAGTTGCTTTTATTTACTCTTTGGAGTTGTGTTTTATTGTGGCCAACTGCTTGTTAAGTCCTTGCATTTTTCTCTTTGAGTAATAGGAAGTAATTTTGAGTCATAAAATGAATTCCTTTCTGCTCTACAGCAATTCTTGAATTATTGAACCTACTTTATAACAAACACTCCTTCCTATTCTCTTTATTAAGAATTTTAGTTACCAAATATCAATTATACATAATAATGTGTTTCATTATGACATTGACATACATATGCAAAATGTATCTTGGTCACACTTGCCCTCTTTTACCCTCTCGTCACTCTTCCTAATTCCTTTCCTCTTCTCAATAACTCCGTCTATTTCCTCTCCTTTATTTAAACTTATTTTTTATTCTTAATATTTTATGCATGTAAACAAAACATAATTAAGATGACTCACAGAGGTATGTGCAACTGGTCATTTACACGAGTGTGGGCAACTCACCAGTGTCTATACCACTGAAGACAATGCCTCTCCTGAGGAGTTTCCATTGCATAATGGTTCACACTCTGGGCTCTGAATGTGCCCCCCCTCTCTGCAGACTCTATTTCAGCGACCGTTAACTACAAACATCTCCTCTGGGAGGGGGGTCTTGTGAGCCCCCTTCCTGCTCCATGATGGAACTTTGACAAGATGCCTCTTATGCTGGTTGTGTGTAGGTAGTCACAGCTGCTGAAACTTCCAGAGTACAAATGCCACGTCCTGCCCATAGCATAGGTTTGAAAGGCTTCAAGTCACAAGGACGTGATGAAAATAGTTCAAAAAGAAAGTTAAGTTTATAGATTTTACCATTAAAACTTGTGAGCAGTCAAAAACCAAGTGGAAATAGTAGTGTGATACTTTCTTTTATCTGCCAATTAAATCCTCCTATCAATATAAAATGAATATAATTTTCATTTTGCCTTTAATACAAAAGCAAAATGGAAAACAAAACCAAAAACTTTCTGTTTTGGTTCTTCTTCCTTGTTATTTCTCATTTTTCTCTAACCCCTCAGTTGCAGAGGTGCAAAATCAGGAACAACTGGCTGTTAGTCTATGTTCAATTAGGTTTATAATTGAGATATTATAGTTGCAAAGAGGAATACCTTCTAAATTAAACACTAAACAAATATTTTATCACCACAAAATAAACTAGCATCTTTCGATAAATGAAGAGATCACTTGAACAAAAGTTAATATGAACCAAAGTGGATGTTTACCAGACAGTCTTACTTTCCTTGAATAAACCAAGTCATAAGTGCTCATTTTAATGCTTACTTAGCTCATAAGAAAACTCTCCATATTTAATACTGGGAGGAAAAAGAACAAACCCAGTGCTTAATATCTCTCCTGTACACTTTGTAAAGTTCAGGTGAAGAAAACACCTTACCAGATGCATCTTTAAATCCGTTTTCTTTGCTCATATTGATGGCTTCCATTTGTTCCAAAATGTGTTAGAAGTAATACAGTTAACTGTTCCTCTTTAAGGGAAATGCTTGTTTTGCCATATGACTTTGTTGTTATATTAGCATTGCTATAGAAAGGTGTGCCAAGAAAATTTTGTAAAGGCACATGGTTGGCAGAAATAAACACAGAAAACTTCTTAGTGGAGAAAATTAAACTAAAAAATTTAAAATCCAAAGTTTAAATCCAAAATTCTTCCCATGTGTCTATTATTCTGTTATAAACCATGCCATTTCTCAAGCTGGTAAAATTTATAAACTATTGTAATTTATGTGGTGAAAATGTACCCATATGTTGATTGTGCAGATTGTGTGTGTGTGTGTACAATGAGGCAAAGTTCTCTTTAAGACTTTTGTAGGTGCTGTGATTAAATATGTCTACTTAGGACTTTCCATATATGCCATATTCCCATATGGGGAAATATATTTTACATTAGTAATTACCTAATTCATTCAAAATAAATATTATTTTCTACATTGTTCCAGGTAGTGTTTCACAATATGAAAATCATACATAGGATGGGAAATTTTAAATCCAAAACTAATAAGAGTAATGATGCAGGATTCCATACTTCTAATACTCTATTTGCTCAACATAAAATACTGTTCTGTTTCAAAATAAAATACTGCTTAAGTTGTCTTTGCATTTTTATCTACAGTTAGAACCTATCTGCACAATTTTCTCTTTCTGCAGTGCCTTGAAACGGAGGGAACGATTGAGCAGAAAAGTGTCCTGTATACACCAGTTCACTATGCACTGAAGAGCAATCTTGGTTATGAACCTAATTACTACCACTATAGCCCCTCTGTTAGCCCATATATGTATTACCCACTTGTCGTAAGACTACTTCTGCTTAGCTCTCCAGTCCAGGTCTCCAAACGGCAACCAATGCCAAATTTCCCCCAGTCTGTTGGGGTACCTCGTCCTGTTCCAAGCCCGTCCTTTCTTGCCTTTCCAACAACGGAAACTCAAGAAAGCACCGACAGTCCAAACATCAGTATCCCTGCTGCTATTGAGCCTACACCAGCTCCTGTGTCTGAACCAGTGATGATTACTGAGGTCATTCCTGAAGGTTCCACGGTGCCCATCAATATCCCAGAGACTGCCACAGTCCCAGTGTTAACAACTGCAGCATAAAAACACTAAGGAATCATTGAAAAAGACAATAAAGGTAAGTAAGCAAAAAAAAAAAAAAAAAAAAGACCAGTCCAAGCAGCAAGCATGGACTTATTTAGTCACACAATCACAAATTCTAAACTAGTACAAGCAGATAAATCATGTTAAGGAAGCAGGCAGAATAGTTAACTAGAATTGTAATTTGGGATTATATAGCAAAGACAAGAGAGTTTTTGCTTCAATAAGAAGTGAAATTGGTATGTTTCTACAAAATGAAGAAAAACTGAACTTTTATCAAACATTTTCCTGAAAATTATAATTCTCTTTTAATCTATTGGTTTTATTTCATCCATACTTCACAATGAAGTAAAATACTTCGTACACTCTCATGTTCTGGGTCTAAAATTTCCAAAATGAAATTTTTTTTTCTATCGGGTTGTATACTAGAGTCACATACAATGGTGGGTCTATGATCCCACCTGAAAGGAGGAATTTAGGTAGAAAGATCACAGGTTCAAGACCAATCTGGTCTACATAGAGAATAGGCCAGTCTGAGAAATTTAGCAAGATCTCGAAATTCAAAAATGAAAAAGGGGTGAGGGTCCAAGAATATAACTAAATGTAAATTTATTGCCTAACATGCATGAGATCTTAGGTTTAATTCCCTATATAGAGAAGGAAAGAAAAGAGGAAAGAGAGAGAGTGAAACACACACACAGAGAGAGAGAGAGAGGAGAGAAGGAAAATAAGTCTATAACAGTATTGTTCACATTTTAACTTTAATATTAATAGGGTAAAAGAAATTATATCTTTTCCATGCAGCTCTTTACTTCAGATATCATTCCTGGAAAGATCCATAAAGTTGAGCCTAACATGCATCCCCTTAGATACATCATGAAAGAAGTAAAATGCTTAACTTTTAAAACACATGACCATTAAATGAATGCTTTCAGCATATCAAACATCAAACAAAATACTATTAATTATTGAATAATAGGTAACTAGAACTTAAAATAATTGGAAAAATTCTAGGAAGATAAATAACAAGAAATATCAATGGTCTTTTAAAAAACTCACAAAGGGAGACAAAAGTATGAATGTTGAGTTCTTTTATAACACAGGTTTGTATCTATCAAACTGGGCACACATTCTGTGGTCTATAATACCACACAATGGTCTGTGATCTAAGAGACTGCTACAGGCTAGAAGAGGAATCTTCTACCTTCTCTGTAGTAACCTTGGACTGGTCATCATTCTCTCTGGATTTTCATTTTATTGCAACTTTGAGCTGACACATCAAACATAAATGTGGGTAGAATGTATAAAGTTAGAGCCTGTTCAGTTCAGAAGTAGGTGTTTCATAGTACAACATGTTTGAATTGGGACTCAATAAGGGAAACAGAAAACACCTGTGACTTCGTTAGACCACCACAGGCCTAAATCATGGATTTGAGTTGTTATTTAACAAGTTGTTAACTTGTGCAAAGAAACGGATGACTCAACATAGAGAGTTTTAGAAAATAAAATAAGAAAAAGGATGAAAACAAGTATCTAATATAGTTATATATTATGTTGATCCAAAATCATTCATTCTATGAACATGCTTTTAATGAAGTAAGCATTGTTTAATAGTATGTTTGTTCATAACTCATGAATCTGGAGTCTCGAATTAAAACCACTATGCATCATTTATAAAGAAATTAGGAAAAGATGATGTCTATTATGAAACTTACACGAAGCGTGCTCCACACTATAGGTCAATCATTCATGTTTGAGGTGAAACATTTACTTTGATAAAGTCCTTGGATACAGGCATAAAAGAATTCCCAGAAGCTAAAGAAAACCTTAAATGCAAGAACCGCTAGCCTGCTATGCAAGGAAGTCCCGAACTATCTCTATTCTTTTACAGGTCTTACTGGATCCAGACTCCAACTTCAAACACTCCTTCAAGCATTTGTCGGCCGCCATTCAGGAGAAAATGCAATGTTCACAGACTCAGATCTTTCTCTTTCTTCCCTTACATTTTGCATTGAGACCACAGTTAAAATTTTGATTATTACAGAATAAAGTCAACGAAACGCAATCAGTATCTTTTTTTAAACATTACGTGTGTGTGTGTTTGTGTGTGTGTGTGTGTTGCACAAGCATGCCATGGCAATCAGAGAACAAACTTGCAGACATCCGTTCTCTTCTACCACCTTGTAAGATCCAGGAATTGAGCTCAGATGTCAGGCTAGGCAGCCAATAACTGAATGTCCTAAGTGGAGTCTACGGAAGTACCCTGCGGCAAATTTAGTGTGACTTTGGGCATGCAGTTCACTCATGGGCAGAGTTTGCAGAGGTCCTGATCTGGCACGAAGAACTGCCTTATTAGGCTGGCACTAATAAGAAAAACATTTAAACTATGACACCAGGACCAGAGAAGATCTAAGTCGTGGTGCTGCGACTCAGAGGACCATTAAGTGACTCTTTTGGCCGCAAAATGTACATGCCCAAATAAAAGTGTAGAGCATGTCCCAGAGCACAGGTGTGTCATAGGAGACCACAACTACAAACACAGCTACATCACAAAATAAGAGGACTTCACAGAGACTCTAGGTACACAAGACTAGTCTCACACATGATTCACCCACAAAGTTTGTGGCCAAACACACACACACACACACACACACACACACACACGCACACACATGCACACACACACATACACACACACTCACCCCACACCACACACACATACTACAATAGGATGCTTTAGGATTTCTGATTCTTCTGTCTAAAAATGTTTGGTGAATAATCACTGTTTTTAAAATATAACGTAGTTTTCCCCCAAACAAATAGTACTGGGCCTGTAGCCAGTCAGCAAAGTGTTTGCTGTGTGAGCATGTGGACCTGGGTTCAATTCCCAAAACCTATGCAAAAGCCTCACAAGATGGTACACAGTTTTAACCTAAGCACTGGAGAGACAGAGACAGAAAGATACTGGATGCCCTCCAGCCAGGATGTCTTGCCTCATTAGTAATTTTCAGACCAATGGAAAACTGTCTCAAATTAGCTAGACAGCATTCCTAAACATGATACCTGAGATTATCTATCCTCAGGTCTCTGCACACACATTCCCATGCCCCATGCACATACACATTTTTTAATGGCAAGGAAAGTAAGCAGGCAGATTATAGATTTATGACGGCGTACTAGGAAAGCATGAATTTCCTAGCAAAGTACTTTCTGGTCACCAATATAGTCCACTGATTCAATATTTTCACAAGCGTGCAGTGATCCATGGTGACATAGTCTTCTATATATAATTTCATTCAAATGCTGCATCATTCAAATGGATGAACTTTATTTTCTATGAATTATATTCTTAATTTCTTTTTAAGGAACAAAATAATATGCAGTAAAAATTTTACTTCATTAACTAAAAAAATCACCACCTATTTGCAAGTTTCTATAAATACTATTCTGAATATACAAATAATAATTTAATTTCAAAAAGCAGCCAGTAATTATGTGGTCCACAGCACATATGTCAAAATTCTATTTATTTACATTTTTACTAGTGGATTGCACAATATGCATAAAATGAAAATGAAGTAAATTTCTACAAATAATATTGAGATCTGATTCTGCAAGTATTACTTTAAAGTCCATAGTCCTTAACAAACACATAGCCCGATGCAATAGAATAAACAGAATGCAGAAATAAACCTAGACAAGTCACGTGTGTGCTTGATCAATCCTCAACAAGGGTACCGAGAGACATTATAGAGAGACCTCTCCACAAACTCTTCTGGGGGAACAGGTTATGTGTGCAAAGGAATAAAATGCTTGTGTCTCACATCATCCACCAAAATTAACTCAGAATGCATAAGACACTTACACTTAGACTTAAGCTCATAAAATTTCCGGAGGAATCTTCAGAAGGAAAAGTCCTTAACAGTGTCCTTGGTAATGATTTTCTAGCCTTACCCCAAAACTCTGGCTACCACAGCAAAAATACATGAAATTGATAGTCTCTAACGGTAAAGTAAGAAATAATAAAAAATGAACCAGTTACAGATTCTGTAACTGGTATCTGATAGGAGGTTATGCAAAATATATAAAGAACACAGAAAACTCAGTATCAGAAAAATGACCCAGTAAGAAATGGACACATGTAAATACACATTACTCCGAAGACATATGAGTGATCAGCATCTCTAATCATTGCAGAAATAAGGCTCGAGCCACAATGAGACAGATCTCCCACCTTTGGGGTGGGGAGCAGCAGCTGTAATAGGAACCATCAAATCCCACCTTGGTGAGCCCATGATTGCTGGTGTCTGCTCTACCAAGGCCCACACCAAGGATGTGATGGTATGAGGGACAACTACTTCATGACCTCCATTTTCTACTCTCCGTTTATGATTTATATATAATAGACATGTGATTATATATGCAGATATACAAATTCATATATTTCAGAACGAGTCACACTTCCTGAAGAAATAATGCTATTATTCACATTTTTAATAAAGAAGTCATCACCAATGAACCAAAAACTAAAGCCAGAACAAATAGATCTTATATACATTATTAGGAGACACAAATCTTTCTACAGGATAAAGCCCTGGGTGTGCAAGGAATAAAGGAAACACAATACTAAACAGACAACTGTTTGTCTATAGCAACTTCAACGAACACTTTGTATCCCAACCAATATTCTGCAAAGAATCATAAAAAGCTAGTGTCAAATGTAGGTCATGAAATAGATGATACTCTTTCTATGAGGCTTCATACAACAGAGACCATCAAGGGCATTAAAATTGTCCATGTGAGGGATGACAGTTTGGAGGAAGACGCTGAAAAGGATAAAAATCCTGAATGCTTTTAAAAGACTTCTTTGTTCATCAACAGGATATAAAGGGTAAAGAGAGAGAGACTGAGAGAGGGAGGAAGAAAGGGAGAGAGAAGGTCAGAATGTTTAAAGATTTTTAAACCCCCCTGAAGATGGAGAAAGCTGAAGCTTGTGATTTTAG